TTTTTTAAGAATTCAAATGAAAACAAACTAAAACTCAAGAATCCCGTTTTTTTCTGAATAACAGTCATACATAACAAGAAGAACATTGCTACAAGACTCGTCCTAGCAAACAAGACTTCCCCAACAAGCGCAAACTCAATAAATCATCCCTTTGTTTCTTCATCATCCTCCTCAATCTTGGGTGCCAGGTAGAACCTTATATAGCCCATTTCTGCTATCTTATACTCAACCACAACTGGAAGCTCGGAGGACAAGCTAATTGTAACCGTGTTCGACAAAGGAGTTGCCTTTGTGAAGGAGGTTAAGTACCTTAGAGAAAAGGTCAGAGACACTTGCTCGTTCATCTCTATAACCTTACGTAGCTTCCTCAGGCTTGTCTACTGTGGTATTTTGTCTGCAAACAACGTTAGCTGTTCCAATATAACCTCTTGTTGAGAATTTTACACCTTCCTTGGTTACAGAGATCACAACCGTGTCACCAATGCTGCTCAGATCTTTACAAGTTCTTGCAAATTCAGCAGATGGCATCCTAACTATGGCATGATACTCAGCTTCCGGGATTCCAAGATGCTCGCTGTCAATATCCATGAGCTTCAATTCAAAATCTGCAATCTTATCTTGAGTTGGGCTCTCGAACATGAAGGTGACCATGTTGCTGCCATCATCCGCATTGATGGTGATGATGTCATCATTTCCGACACACTTGAGCATTTTTGCCATGTTGCCGAGGTTCATACCCATGGACAGGTTGCGGTCGCACCTGTAGTGCTCGAAGCCCTCAGATCTGAGCAGCAGCGCCACCAGCGCCACATGGCTGGAGTCCATGGCCTGGAGGGAGAATCCGGTGGCAGAGCAGTCGAAATTGGCATCGTTCACCAGATCCTTAATCGCTTCAAGGACCTTCTTCAGCAGGCTCCTCTGCACGAGCCTCAGCTCCAACATCCCTGCAGATTGAAGCTCGCTGTTTTGAGGCGGAAATGGTAGCGATTGAAAATTTCAGAGTGGGTTTTTGTCTGATGGTGCTAGGTTAGTTGTATGATTGTGCTAGGTTTTTTTTTTTAATAAAATGCCCCGGGGGCGGGGGATTGGGCTGGATCCCCAACCTGTATATAGATCAAGTCCCCAAGAAGGGCCCAAATATCAACCAAATACAATCAACATAGTCTCACAATCAAAAGAAAGACA